CGCGGCTGGTCAAGGTCCGGCCGGCCAGACTTTTCGGCCAGGTATGGTCTGGGGCGGCCATCATTGGCTTGGCCGAAAAAGTCCGGCCGCCCGGTCCAAGACCGGCCGCGATCGCCGGTCGACCGGCTCAAGTCCGGCCTGTTTGACCGGAGGGCCGCCGCAACAGTGGTCTTGTTGAAAAGCATTTTTTTGCCGGAATTATTCGGAGGTGTTTTCGAAATTTTTCGAGGCTCGGTCCGGCCGGTAAGTGGTTCTGAAGAGGGGACATTTTTTTTAAAAAAAAAGTAATAAAGGGCAAATTAGTCTTTTAGGGGGGCGGTACGTAGTAAAAAGTGGGTGGTATTTAGAGATTCGGTTTAGAAAAATCTCTAGACCAGTCATTTCCTCCTCATATATACTTTACAAATATTTCATTAAATATTGATGTGTGTCTTTTTATCTAATTAAATAATTTAAAAACTATTTTATTTAATTATGAAAATGTATTTATTTGAAATCAGTAAGAAAAATAAGATTTGTACCAAAAAGAAGTAAGAAAAATAAGATTATGAATAATATTTTATTTCATTTAAAATATGTTAAATTATATATATATTACACAGAAAATTAGTAAAATATAAAAAATAAATGTAGAAGATTGCAATTCAAATTGAAGTCTCCTATGAACTCAAAACATCAAATTGATTAAGAGGTATTGTTTTTCATGACAAAAGGAACAAAACGAGAGTGCACCAATCAAATTTGGACAACTGAGTCGGCGGAAATCAGCAATTGAATTTTTCATCCAGCCGTCACGCGCTACTGAAAATCTAGTAATTTTGTTGGCGTTTATTCCACTACTAGAATACCATGTCAAAAATCAAGAGATTCTGTTGTATTCTTTATGAAATGACTTTCTATACATATATGGTTCACGAAAATTTAAAAGATGGATGTCCGGTGACATTCCAACAAAATATATTGCACAATTCTTTTTTTAAAATAAAAAAATAAATTGCACAATGATTAACAAAGTTTTGAGGTATCATATGATGAAATTAAACATGTTGTTCGAAATATCGAGGTGAGAATTTTGAAATTATATGATTTGCTGAAATACGTCACTGGTATGCGGGTGATAAACGACAACCGGCAATGGTAGTCGATGGCTACGAGTGATAGCAAAATGTTCAGTGATTTAGCACTCAGAATAGCTCGGTAGACCGGTTTGAGCAGGTTACTCGGCTAGGCCGGTCTAGGAGAGCTCTCGTATGTACAAGGTAAGCTACCAAGCCAAGTTGGACAAAAAGTTATTTTGAAGTCCTCAATCGTGAAGTCTTGCTACAAAGAGACGGGCTCCTGAAAANTTTGATTTCATCCAAGCTTACTAGTGCCACCAGGTCCTAATTCAAATCTTCAGGAATGACCTTTTGGATTCCTTGGAGCAATCTGTCTCCCTCTGATGATCCCTCTGTGGTGAAGAGGTCACTAAAGAAATCTTCAATGCAATGAGAGATTGAATCTTTCTTTTTATCGATAAATGTAAATTTATAGATCAAAACTGGAGTACAAACGACCGAAATTCGGCATACAAAAGCGCAATGAGTAGACACAAGCTCGACTCCTCACTCGCATATGGACGGTCTAAGAGGACAACCACAAGTCGGTTGTTCATTCAAGTCTCTAATAAGACAAAAAGTGACAAAACACTAATGCTCTTGCCTTTACTCTCGAGCTCCCAATGCAAGAGATGAGTCTATAATAACCCAAGGCATTTCCTCTGAAACTCGGCAAGTACATTCGGATACACTGCAAATATTGTACGATAAACATGTGTTTTAATCTTACGTATCAAAAGGCTCGTAGGTTGAGATTTGTTTTCAAAAACCAAACTATTTCTCTCATTCCAAATGAAGTAAACGGTTGCCGCAAGCGCCGCTTGCTTCAACTTGGTTTGCCAACTAGCCCCTCTAGCTTTCTTCTTGGTCCATTTAAGGGCCCCTTTGGGAGTCGTGGCCTATGACGAAGGTTAACTCAATCACAGATCGCCTCCTATATTTTCAAGCTAAATGGACATTCAAAGAAAAGTTGAACCGATGATTCATCCACACCACCACAAAAAGAACAAGTCGGGTCTTCATGAAGGAACTCTAACCGATCTTTTGTACAGAGACGATTTAGCACTCCTAGCCAAAGAATGAATGAGTATTTGGGGGTATTGCAAGACCCCAAACTACCCCCGTCCAAGGCATCAAAGTACCGTGAGGCCTTAGGAAGTCATAACAACTTCTCAACCTATCTTGTTTGCCTCGCGAACTCCAATGATGGAGTAGGGACTTTGCGGCTTGCTCACTTCCCGCCTTATCTACCAAGACTCTTCGGATCTCGAAAAGGTATTTGAAAAGGGGCGAGTCATCCTTGTGAATTTCCCATGCCCGTATTTGAAAAGGGGCTGAGAAAATTTATACCAGAGGAAAGTTGCCAGTTGTTGTAGTAATTTTTACCGGAGTAGAATCGAAAGATTCGAACACCGGGTCGTTTCTCAAGGAAGGTCAGCCGGATTATTTTTACGACTATTCAATCACAAGAAAAGATAAAACAAGTCCTAAACACTATAATTCAATTGTTTGGTTTCGATTATCAGCTACTAGATTAACCACTGATTCTCAAACAAGACAATTTCGATCACACAACTTCAAACGAGATTCAAATAACTGTAAAAAAGACTAGGGCGTCTGGGACAATCGTTTCCGGTTCTCAATACATTTAACGGGCAATCAACTACTCGGCTAAAGGGTTCGAAAAACCAATTCATCTACAGATTTATTCTCAATAACTCACAAAACAAGAGAATAAATATAAACGAACAATCATCGAATCAATTAGCACATAGACAATACGTCTCCGAACAAGTCTACTCTAAACGAGCCTAAGTCCACCAATTCCTCCCCTTCCGGTTCTAAGAATCGATTTAGTGGATTAAAATGGTGATCAGTCATTCAACCCTAGGATTAACACAACTCGAATAGATTGAGTAATCAACATTCAAACAAATGAAATTGAACCGGAACAACTATCCCCTAGCCCTAGTTAATGAATTTAGCTACTCATCACAAATTCAACATCAACATTCATATGAAGCAAAGCCATAACATTCGTCAATGAAATGAAAAAGAAGCTTACGAATAAATACGAATCCAATGTCGAAAGAAACAACGAGCAATCTAAATCCAAAAGCTTAATCTTGGTGTTTTCACAATCCAAGATCAAATCCTATGAAAACTAGGTGAAAATTGAGTTTGAGAAGTCAAAAACGAAATTACAAAGTCTGAGCCTCCCTCACAATAACCCTAGGATCGACATATAACATTCTCCAATTCAAAATCCATGAAATCGCGCCTGCTGTAAAACAGACCTTAGTGCCGCTAAGGTGCCTTAACTGTTCGCCCCAGCCCTCGTTAAGAATAGGTAGCGCCGCTAGCCATTTAGCCTTAGCGGCGCTAAGGTCCTGGAATGCCCAAAAGTTGCTTTTTCTCTGACTCGCATGCTCGGCTAGCGTCGCTCGGGTACTGCTCGAGCTGGAAATTCGACCTCCGCATGTTTGGTCGCATTAACGGGCATGGAACACTTGGTAACCGGCATAACCTGAAATCACCAAAATCGAAAAAAACGCAAAAAGCAAGAGAAAAATAGGAGAAAAGAAAACGAGAACACGAACCACGAATAAATAACACTAAAACACGAAAAATGACTAGATGGACGGTAACACCTGAGAAACGACCTAAAACGGGGGAAAATACACGCAAAACATAAACAAAAATAGCAACAAAAATGGGACAAACACCAGCACCTTGGTGCCAGGTATGTGGGAATGGTGTTGAGTCCCTGATGCATGAAATTTACACCAGAGGAATGCTGCCAGCACCTTGGTGCCAGGTATGTGGGAATGGTGTAGAGTCCCTAATGCATGTGTAGTTTGATTGTGAAAAAACCAAGAGAGTGTGGAGTATTGCTCCTATTTCTTGGAATCAAAAAATTATTAAGCCGGATTATTTTAAGGGTTGGTGGTCAGATTTATGTAATGCAAAAAAAGGGTGGACCTGTCTGTGTATATTCTATGGTGGCTATGGCGGACTAAGAACCTTTGGATTTGTGAGAAAAAAAACTATTAATGATAGGGAAGTAGTGAGGAAAGCTTTTGAGGAGTGGTGTGAATTTGCGGGAGTTAAAAACTCAGTGGCTGGGGCAGCTAATGGACCTAATTTAAACCAAGTAGGGAAAATTTGTTTATTTGTCAGTGCTTGCATGATTCCAGGCATGGGGAGTGGTTTTGGTGGTGTCGCAGTGATCAAGAATCAGAGAGCCATGTGCATGAAATGGCAGGTTTTCCTTCCTAGCTGCTATGATGAATCTGAAGCAATTCAGCATGGTGTTCAACATGCTCTGTGGGTTGCCTTCTTGAAAGACTGGAAGGAGCTTGAAGTATACGTAGATGATGAAACTGTTGAAATGCAATGCACCTAAAGACCACTCATCTCTTTGATGGTGTGAAGAAAGAAATTGCTGATAATATTTACATGTTAGTAGACTTAGCTTTGTCCTGAAATTTTGAAGCTTGTTGTTTGGATTTTGTTTGTGTGGCCTCTTCTTTAGCCCTTGAGTTGAGGCTTTTTCATATTGCTCTAGCCATGAATGGCTTTGCTAATGTTTAGTTGTAGGGGTCTTCTACTGCTATTCCCTCTTGTGATCAGTGGATCACCGATTGTAAGACATTTTTTTCGTTTTCGTGAGTGAAATTTATCTATCGTTTGACAAAAAAAAAAAGTTCTCAATCGTTGACTGGAGAACTTCGTTAAATGTATTGATTGGTACTCGATATTGAGATTTTGTCGAATCACATTTTTATCTTAATTTTACTGGATACAGTCTGTTACTCTATCCCTTCCAATTTTTTGTGTCACTAAAATAGCTATATGAACTACCAAACAGTTTTATGTAAGATTTGGAATTATATGATATAATTATATAATCCTGAAGTCGAGAGTTCTCTCCCCAAATTTGTCATATCTCACTAAATTAGTTGTTCAAATATTTTTTTTTTTTTTTGTTGGTACAAAGTTGTTCAAATATTGAATCACAAGATCAAGCTAACTAGTTCTCGTGCTTATCCATAAAAGTTCTACTTGTATGGTTAAAATTGTTTTTATTTGTTGATTGTTTACCATTATTGACTTGGAAGATTATTCCCATTAGCGAGTAAGTTATAATTAAATTAAGACCGTTTATCAAAGTAAACAATATTCAATTCTAAAATTTTAAATTCTAGGCTATACGCCAGCTCAGCGTTCACAACCTGGAATCCAATCCAGGAGCCAGGGCCATGTTTGGGCGGGTATGAGAGAACATTGCATTTCGCATTTCTATGATTTCTATGAGATGTTTTTCTGTTTTTTCATGCACATTTTTGTGAAGTAGAGATTTAAAGAGACCAGAAAAAATTGCTTGCCTATTACGCATTGGCATTTCTTACATTTTATTATTCTTACGAACAAAAGAAACTAGCTCAGTATAGTAGGATGCAAAATATAGGTAAAACCAACAAATACTCAACTACATCTGCAACTTTATAAAAACAAGTACCAATAATTCCAGGCAATCTCAGGAGGTCACAAGGCATAATAAAACTCAAACTGACATCCCATCTTCCTATTAACTACAAACCTGAAATGAAATTTTAAGTGTTTAAAAGCATACACTAGCAGTATCACAGAAAAAGCCAACCAATAAACAAAGAAAACCAAACAAGTTTTCGAAATTCCCTCTTCAGGGGCATATAAGACGCAAATAAAACCAGGATTATTAATATTTTTTCAAAAATATAAATATTCTTTCATTTCTAGGTTTTGTAACTATTTCAAAACAGTAGTGTTCTAAATACTATCTATAAATATTCAATCACCTTCCTCTTGAACTGATTTCTTCCCCTGCTTCTTCACTTTGTCCTTGTCCTGAGCCGATTCTTGCTTTAACAGTTTCTCAGTTTTCTTTTGCATGCCTCGACCTTTAACTTCCAAATCAGGCTTAGAGCTTGCAGCCCTATTGGGCACCGATCTTTTAGTAGCTTTCACATTACCATCCTTCTCAGAATTTTCTTTATTTGCTTTCTTCACATGCTGAGTCGTGTCAGCATTCATTATCACGTCCGCAGGCTTTTGCTTCTCCTCAGCATACGTTATAGAAGATGACGAGCTTTTAACATCATCATCAGAATACTGTTTTGAAAGCTCAAAGCTTTCGGGAATCTTGTAGCCTTCCAAGAGCAATTTCAAGACTTCTCCGTGTTCAGAAAGGTCGTGACGGCGCACGTATGACTTTAGTTCGTCACTCAATCGCTGTATAGGCTGCAATATTTGTATTTTTAATCACTATAATGAATAGATTAGCCTATCATAGTTGAAGTCTATTTTTGCCCCCTTCTAAAAGCCTGCATGTAGTCTAGCATACTTGATTGAAATGAATATTTACACTTTTCGTTGTAAAGCAAAAATGAATTAGAAAAATTAAATATAAAAATACAGAACATTACAGATATTGAGTAGGCATTGTTTTCTTCCTAAAACTACCAATTGCTCCTAAGATTACTCAATAATTTGGGTGAAGTACAAAATCTATTCTGAGGTTTTAAGCTAACCACCAAATAAATCTAGCAGGCATTCAATAAATAAGAAGATATATCCCCATCAAATAGTAAAAATACTAAAGCCACCGCCTTATATGTAACATTGAATCAAACATTTTAAAGATATTATTTGTAACCTTAAAACTTCTCATCAGCAATTCTAATAGATAATCCGAAGAACTGAAAAATAAAAAACACAAATAGTCAACAAGCATGAACCTTGTTCCATACCTCACACCCAGCCTCCAGAGCAAGCTTAAAGAAACCAAGGGAGATAGAGTGCTTAGAAGCAGATTCTGACAGCTTAATCTGAGACAGCCAATAAGATGGTGAAGATAGAGTACTGAATTTCTTTCGAGCAGACAAATTGGAAATGTCCGATCGTGGAGTGTCACTTTTCCCCTGGCTGACGGCAGACTTTGCTCGAGTCTCCGAAATTGGAGTTATACTGCTGATAGATTTTGGAGTTAGGGTGGCATTTGGCTTTTTGTTAGGCACTGAAAGCCGTCTAGGAGGCTTTGCGGATGACTTTTCCTTTCCAGAGAGATTGAGAACTTCTACACTTTTGCTCACACTAGATTGAACCCTTTCCCTAATTATGAACATCAAATTAACAAAGCAACAAAACCACCTATACAATTCTGTAATTAGTTGGGGAAGCATGTTCATGTCAGACAAGCTTGTATTTTTCTTAACAATGATTATATAGATGATGTAGGATTAAGAGAATAAAAACCATCTTTGCTAAGATTTTACAACTTGATACGATATTAAAGGCACAAGTCAAGATTTAGATCCTTTATGTTAATTAGATTTTTCAAAAACCCAGAAAAATTAAATGATGCCTTAACTGAAATATCCTATAAGCAGTTATTATATTAGATTACACCAAATTGATAAGCAAGTACTGAAATCTTTCACGAGACCTCGAATTTCCTAACACTGAATTACCCAGATTACATAATAACAAACCTTTTGGCGGCCGAGATGGAGTTTGCGGAGCCTGTGAATGGCGGTTTCTCGTCCTTCAGTTTGGTTGCTGATCGGAGTGCATACCTGAGAAGCCTCGTGGTTGATCTTCCTGTTTCGTCAAAATTAAACGGAAAAAGAAAATGAATATTAAATAAACAGACAAAAAAAAAAAA